AATGTCTGCGACCTGAGCAAGCTTAGGCCACCAGCAGCGGCCGAGTTCCAGGCTGCCCCAAAATGCTGCATCGCTCCAGCAGGCTTCAGCGCCGGACCACTTCTTTCGTCACTGTCACTACTCAGTCTCTCAGCTTCATTGTACATTTAACTAACTTCAATTCGCCTAATTCCACACTCATCACAGAATCGAACGCGTGATATCCGACACGGCAAGGACAGTAGCACAAAATCGACATTGAATGTCCCGGATTCCCTTATCACAAATTATAAATTCGGCACTAGAATAACACGTCGCGCCAGAGTCAAAATACGCCTCGTTGACACGCAAATTAATCTAACTAGGCAACCAAAACACAAAAGGGGCACTAAACGCGTCGACACAATCATAATGATATCTTGACAATTAACCGGGAGAAGCTCTCAATTAGGAATGCGCGGCTCGAATCCTAGACCGTATATGTACTCGACGCGCGTGCACAGTTCCGCATTCCCGCACGAGTTAAATATCGCAAAATTCACATATCGGTTTTTACATTACACATTATCAATTCACATATCGGGTATTCACATATAGGCACTTAATCTAACTATCTAGACCTACGACGGTCGTGTGAATTTCGCTAAGAGAGCCGCACGGGCTCCCTGCATCGTGTCTGGCGGGGCACTGATTTTGCCCACGAGCATCACACGCTGGGAAACTGCCTACCGTTCCCCCTCCTTTCGATGCGCGTGACACCTGGGGCCATCGTGCGACTCACGAAGTCAAACGTGATTGGATGATGTTCAATATGTCCTAAATTGGCCTAAACACTAGCTGTATCGACACTAGTGAGAATTCTAATCTTTTTTGCAGCATAGGCTGCAGAACTTAGTCTGCTTGCTATTTTGGATATATGCGGGCCCCACTGAAGCTTTGCGTCGAGAGTGATGCCAAGAAAAACAGTGGATACAACAAGCTCAATTCCTCCCCATTTAAAAACATGGTATAACAAGCCATTTCTACAGTTCGCTCAACATAGAGGCTCACAATATCCTTACGTTCTTTATATAATAATAAAGGGAAGGATATTGTGAGCCTCTCATTTTTTCTCTATTGAAGTAACTGACCACCTGGTGATTTGTGAAATTAACATGAAATTCGAATCTTTTAGCCAATGTTCAGTAATACAAAGGATGTGTATATTGTTACTATTTAAAAACAATTCAACTTCCAATTCTTTGCCCATCATGCCTTGTATATTTTGATGCACCAGGTGTAAACAATTTTTATTACTTATTTGTGGGCTGTATTCAAAATTAATTAAATTCCTATTATTGCTAGAGATTACCTCTATTGTCACATTCACTTATTTTAATTAGTTGGAACTGATTCCAAATTAAATATCAAATGAGTATGCTCAATAAATGCAGTCTTGGTAGCCAAAAACTTGGCCGAGTTAAAAATGAAATAATAAGATTTTTGCTATCAGTCTTAAATTATATTTGTATATGTAATACCTATCTTTTGTCCAAACCTTTTTTATTAAATTATTTATGTCAATTACATGAAATTTATGATTATTATCATTACAATTATATGTCAAATTTAAATTATTATTACATATTAAATTATGCATTTGTATCTTTAAATTGTGTCTTAAATTATTTTCCTGTGGCAATCCCTGTATATAAGGCAGTGTGAACAAGACAATTTTGTGTACATTTAAGTTATTAAGTTGTTCAATATATCTTAATAACTGTTTGTTGTTTACACTGCCTCTTCTACCAACAAAAATTATTATTTTACAACTTGGGCAAACATGTCATCGCTATACACAATTATATTATTTTTAGTAATATTTGAATTATTAATTATTTTAATATCCTCTGCTATGGCGCTGTCATAGCGTTTTGGTGGTTGTATAGTATTATCAGCACACACTGACTGTGAAGAATCTGGCATTTAAGGCTGACACTCACATTGACAACAACAAATTAAATTTAGAATTGTAATTTAATATCTCACCAGTTGGTATTCCTTGTCCATACACACAAAGAGTATTAACGAAGATTAATAAAGGTACAAATATATATTTCATTTTAGTTTTATGAACATTAATGTAACGTTACTGGTTAAACTGCAGTTAAATAAACAAATAATATACGTGACTGTATTCAGGCACAACAAATAAATTATGAATATAAGTGACTGTGTAAATTACGACACAAGTAAGGTGCATTTTCACTAACGGATAGCCGTGGTACTTCTAGGAACGAGTATTTACCTTGCTGTTTGCTCTCATATTATTTGCCCTGCTGTTCGCATAGTAGCCAACATCATAAAAAATCACTTCAGCTACTGGATTAGTATTTTAAATGATTACTATGCTTGATTAAAATTAAAATAAGTGACAGATATTTATAAGTTTTGTTTAATACTTAAAATCATTTCAATTTTTGGCTAGGATTATTTAACTAACAACAAGGGCGGGGTAAGAATATTCAATAACCCATATCGTCCCATGGGTGGCGACAGAAGGGAACGAAACAGGATATGATCAGCAGTGTATCCCTGGTAACTACTCAAAATAATAAAAAATGCGGTTGCCAATCTACCTGCCAAGAATGGCAAATGTGACAATTACACCCCTATCACCATATCAGACAATCTGCGGGGAAAGGTCCATGTTCAAAAGTAGACTTTTAATGGGCTGTAATGATGGAATTAATTTTCTATGAACAAATATATTCGCAGATCGCTTTGTGAAATTCAAGATTGATTTTACACGTTTATTCCAAGAACAGCTATAAAAAATTACAAAGCTATTGACGATCTCTTATCTTCTCTACATAGTATAAAACAAAGTCGCTTCCCACCGTTTGCAGATTTTGATGCGGTTTTTATCAGTAGACATAATAATTTGAGAGAAATGTTTATATGTTCAATATATGTATATTTTATATTATATAATTCTTCTGATGTTGATGATGATAGATCTAATAAAAATAAAACATATTCTATTATCTTATTGTGACTAATAAAATTATAGATCTTTTTAAGAATTTTAACAAATGATACCTGGTTATAATAAAACAGTGAACGACTTATTTATGTATTTTCTGATAAGTAACAGTCTTAAGTTATAGTCCTTGGGCTTGTGAATATAATGTTACTGAATGTAAATACTTTTTATGTGTTTAACCGATTGAACCCAAGTAGCTCGCATACTTTTACGGTTAAAATACTTGCAGTGTAGTCACAGCGTAAGAATATTGTCTCCCCCATATTGTGATCCATATTCTATGGTAAAAGTAAATAATGGGTTGAGGTATACATAGGTAGGCAGCAGTACATTAATGGTAACAACTGTAAATAAAAAACTGCGTTGCGAACGAGTGGCAACAATGGCTAAATGTATTATGGGGGCAATCTATCGGGGAGATCCTTTTTAGTAATGAATTTTTGATAATTTGTAATAAATAAATGAAAATAAGGACGATCTATGTCTGACATAATTGATATCACTATATTTTTAAAGCAAACAAATATTTATATTCAAACAAAATATACAAGGGTCCTTGTTACAATACAACTTTCAGCGGCGCCATAGTCTCAGTTACTTAAACTGAGTGTTGAATATTCAGAGAAAGGAGTGTTTTAAAAAGTTTTGTCGTGTCTATCTTCCTGTATTCAACGGAGTAAGATTTCGTTGATGCATTGCTATACTTGTTAAAGATATAACAATTAAATAGCTAACGTAATAAGTGGTGTATCTTACGTATTTTAGAAATCATATCCGTCTCTCTCACAATTGGGTGCACCATCACTGCTACCACCTAACCCTACACCACTTCATAATATGTATTTTACGCGAATACTAGCTAATTCATTTTTAACAAAGTTAAGATAATTACTTTTGTAACGATAATATACGCAGAAGATCAAAAGATAGACAAGAGACGTAGGGCGACGGATCTGTAAACTGAAGTGGCAATGGTACCAGACATATAAGTCAAAGAACCGACAACCAATGAGGAAGAAAGTTTCTCGAGTGGCAGCCTTGTACTAGCAAGACCCGTGTTGGGCTTATTGAATTGGAATGACAAACTGATAAGCGATGCAGGTGATACATGGCTACAGGTGACTCAAGACCGTACTTTGCGTCAATGTTTGTTCAGCAGTGGACTTGTGATGGACTGTAGTGTTAATAATCACGTATGCTTAGTAATTGTCCCTGTCTTTGTTACAAACATCCTATGCACGATTGCTCTCGCAAAATTGATACAACCCCTTCGGGTATGGGACCCTTGCGGCACTATTATTTCCGGCACTATAAATACTTCTCAAAGATATTTTGAAAGCATCCCTTTGAGCGACCACAGTATTATACTAAGTTCACTGGAAAGGAATGCCGAATTTAAAATAATTAAAAAGATTTTTTGAACGTAATGACTCCGAACGTAGGTTAAACATTTTGCATTTACCTAAGCCTAATAATATGTTTCTCTTTCTTCATCACCCTATTATAGTTCACAGCTGTACTTGGGCCTCTTCCAGTAAATCCTTTCTAGATATGCCTCAGTAGTCACGAATGGCTTGACGATCTCTCTGCCAGACCTCTCGAAATTTTAATACCTTTGCCCGCCGCCGGTCTGGTCATTTTATATCTGATTTAAACTAATTGATTATACTGCCATCTGTCGTATGCCAAAACATTTTTCTGGCATTTCTCGTACCACAACCATGGGACAAAATGGTATGATGGGCTTTTTAAGCTGACTCTACAGGTAAATTATTCACCATCGTAAATATGAGATAAAAAAAGGTAAGAACGTGTTTATAGTCAGAATATATATAACCTTAAACATAACGTAAATAAAATTTAAAACGACTTTACTTATTAGTTTTTATATAATTTCGAGGAAGCGTTACAACCCTACGCAACGCAAGGGCTACTGCCTTTATAAGAAAGCCAATGGTGAGGCAAACCATAAGCCTTTCTACCATAGTATGATACATTATGAGCAATCCAACTTATTGACGCATTTCATAGTCTTCGTATCACGAACTGAAGGTGTATTACAAAAACAGTCAGGTATGCCGCAGGCTTTCCCCACTGCTGGCAACTTATGAACCGTAGGGTTGTCGCAAGTCGGCTCAGCCATTCGCGGACAGTAAAGTACTGAGTGCTCGCCAGGTGGACAGTTAGCTGTGAAATAAATAAAACAAACATGTTTATATGTGGTTTATAAATTGCACTACACCATTTTCTTAATTGTATTTTTTAACCGACTTCAATGGATGAGGAGGGGGTTTCCAGTTCGTCTGAATCTTTTTTTTATGTATGTGCACCGGTTACTCGAAGATGCCTTAACCTATTTGAATTTTTTTTGATTTAGAGGATGTACTTCCCAGGAGGTCCCATTTAAATTTTATCGAAATCGGTCGATCGCATTTCAAACTATCAACAATTAATTATTTTATTTATATTGAAGTAGGTTGTACAATTTTTTAACCCAACCACTTGTCATTCTATTCTCTTCCTTTCCATTCCATTCCATCTCATGTCGTTCCAATACATTTCATTTCATTTCATTCCATCTTATGCCAATTATTTCCTATCCTTATAAAACCTTTATATACCGCTTTTATACAGCTCTTATTTAATTTTCATTTTAAAATTTTAATAATAAATTTATAAATTACTTAACCTAAAAACGAAAACCCCGCACGGAACAAGTATTTGTATGGCCTACAAATAATTGTTCCGGGTCTGGATGTTTGTCCTTGTGCAATTTATGTTCGTAAACTGCCTCCACCACACAGGAGAAAATCCTAGTGTGTGGGTAACATTTTTTAAATAAGACAGAAGACAGAAAAAAAAAACCATGAAACATAAACTATTTTTTTTAGATTGAAAAAGTTTCTCACCTATTGGTATTCCTTGTCCATGGACATAAATTATGGTGACTGCCATCAACAATAATAGTGATATTATATACTTCATATTGTTGTTCTCACTAAATGAATACTCTAAGAATGGTAGTAAAATGATAGATTGACCTTATATATATCTGAACCATTACCTACGTCAGTATTAAAGTCCAGTTTCCTTATTGCAACGAGTCAATATAAGAGGAACATTCCCTATGACATCAACAATGATTTAATTTCTTAGAGATACAAATCTCTAAGAAATTAAATATATGGTATACAAATAACAAAGATCCGAGTAAATTTGTATATTGTCAGCAATTGTTAACATTATTATAACAATATAGAAAATTGATAAAAAATATTAACAATTGACTACTATACACTTTATTGTTTTCTATTTTTAAATTAGGTTATTGCTAAGAATTAAATGTTGACTAAGTTATTGGTGCTGTTTGTATAAAGTACCATCTCATCCATCCTTTACAGTATATTTAAAATCTACTGCTGAATTTACTCTTTCCTCATAGATAGCTTCAAAATTTTTTGAGTTGTGGGGGTTATTAAAGTGGCTCTAAATGGTTCGTCTAAATATTTAACAATTAATGTAAGATATAATTTTAAAGGGGAAGTGGAAATTGACTGGCCATATAGCTCAAAGAACCTGCAACCGATGGGGAAGAAAGGTTCTCGAGTGGCCACCTCGTATCGGCCGGCAAAGTGTAGGGCGTCCCCCCACTAGATGGAGTGACGACCTGGTAAGACATGCAGGAAGTCAATGGTCTCGGGACCGTGCTTTGAGACATTCCTTCTGGGAGGCCTATGTTCAGGAGCGGACTTGTGAAGGGCTGTAATGATGAAGATGATGATGATAATTTTGAAACAAGTGATATTTGTTCCCTGTAGCGGAACATTTCAGGCTAGTAATAATATTTTTTATAATAGCATAAATAATTCGTTCGTTTCGTAAAACTGCACCTTTACTCCGGGGAATAACATTCATTTCCTCAATATCTTTTTATACTTAGGTTGTTTTCCTTTGATAAGCCTAGGTATTTAAATGTACGAGTACGTGTACTGATATCCACCTACACTAATGAAAATATAATCTTTTCATAAAACTGATGTGACAATCGCATAAATAAAGCCGATGCAGATAAGAAAACATAATATCTGGACCTGGCTCACGAGCTGACCGACATGTGGGGTGGTCTACCGACTGAAATTATTCCTGTAGTCGTTTCTGCAACGGGTTAATCCTGGTCAACCTTTCGGGTCATTTGAGGTGACTGGGACTCCGTGACGGACCGCTCCGGGCTCAAATGCAGAAGGCGGTGCTCCTTATACCACCTGCATCGTCCGCCGGTTTATTTAAATTTCTCCATAACCCTAGGCCGATTGGTCTTCCCTGCCGAGGATTTCCATCTGGTTGGGGTTTTATAATAATAAGCGATATTTATTTTAAGATATTTTGAGCGTGAGAATCACTCGTCACCGGAACTCAAATCAGGTGTATTCGCGCGCTCAAAAAAAAAGTCGGAGTGGTGGTCGTGGAACCTAGGAACCACTCTTCACTGATACGGTCATTGGCAAGGTGGTTAATCGCAACCGTCGGAACCTCTCTGCCACCTGGATAGACTAAAAAAAAGCATTCGACTCGGTGCCTCATACATTATTTAAGAGGGTTCTCGAGCTGTACAAGGTTGACTGTACAGTTCAAGACTTCCTCGGGCCTCATCCGAGGCTGAAACATACCTATACCTGGGTAAGTAGCAGAACATAGGTATCGATGAGGCGGATATGAAACAGTCAGTTTGCGATGTGTTTTATGCACGCTTAAAAAAAGTGCTTAACAGACTTTTGTCGGGCGTTAATAAGACACATGCATATAATGGTTGGATCGCGGCTACTCTTATTTGTACCTTTGGCATAATCTGATGAACTCAGACCGAACTGAAAGATCTGGATAGAAAACTCCGCACTGTTATGGCGTCTCACAGGATGCATAATCCAAAATCGTTAGTAATAAGGCTGTGCTTGCCGCGGAAGGGAAAGGGCTCCCGGACAGCCTCGCAGGTCATCTAAAGCGACTGGGGCGCCGTGACGGACCACTCTGGACTCAGATGCAGAAGGCGGTGCTCCTCCATATCACCCGAATCGTCCGCCGGTTTCTTTCCCTTCCTTCCTAACCCTCGTTTGGTCTCCCCTGCCGAGGGCTTCCATCTGGTTGGGTTTTTATTTATTTATGTATTTTATTTTATTAATATTTATTAATCAGTATCATTTACATTTATATATGTATACATCCTAACCAGAAGAGAAAAGTATATAGATACCCCACAGTAATAATAATAATTTATTTCAGACCCACATATAGTCCATAATTATGTTACTAAATAGATTAACCTATGTTAGTCTTAAATTTTTACACACACAATTTTAATTACAATTATTTATATCTTCGGCACCCCATGACACCAGGCACATGCAAGTGCATACGCATCCAGCTGTGCACTAGGATGGGACAATCAAATTTATCAGATATTGCCCTGAGAATGATATGGGAGCTCCCACGATCCCTGCGCATGAGGGATGCGATTCTTTTTCAAATAATGGCATGAAAACCGTCCGTACCGTACGCTGTAAGCATCCCTGAAGCGCTACAATACCGTGGAAGTCCCATCAGCACCCTGAAGGCATTGTTATATTTTACCTGAAGGGCATTGTAGGCTCTCTGTGCATACTTAAGCCATAAACTGCACGTGTAAAATGACTGGCAAAAGGCTTTGAAGAATGAATGGTTACTGAAGTCCATGGACATCTGCCAACCAAAACAAAAAACAATCAGCCAACATCAAATAAAGCTACAGATACAATCAGACAGATACAGATCTAAGAACTAAGATCGAATGCCTCTCAACCTGTAACAGGTTATCTATACTCTTCAGATTGGAATACAGCAGTACACCCACTGTTATATGACGGCAGAAATAGGTACAAAATATTTCCTACAATCTCGTGAATTACATACTAGTGTAAGTATAAAATTATGTATATAGTAAAAAATTGCTAGTGCAGTATTATAACGTTCTCAATTATATAGGAAAACCATCTGAGAAAATCTGCAATGTCTATTTTGTGATTAAACCTTCGTTGCAAGAGCCAAGGTTACGTAAAGGCTTGTCGTAAACTTTTCAGTACGCGAGCAGCCCGGTAATATCTTCGCTGGTACCAATGAAATTGTTAGTTGCAATTTTAGGTGCTAATTTACCACGAATTCAGAGGTAAATGAAAACATCTCGAGGAAATTTACATGTTTGAAGAATACAATTTACACTGGAGCAACGCGGTCTCAATTATAAACAATCATGATGCAATTAATTATTAAATAATAAACTCATTTAATTTTATACCCATTTAGCAAATGCTACATCATTAGGATTTAAATCATATACTCCGCGGGACTTAATTGCTTTTATTGCTGATTAATTTATATATAATTCTATACATATAAATCAAATTTGACCTGTATTTTAGAAATACAAATGACTAATAAAATTCGTCTAGTAACTAGACTCTAGTTCAACGGCTTCTGATAACCTATTATCGACGACAGGACAAATACAACAACGTTTAAACAAAATACCGTCTCATTACAAAACTTGGCTTACTGATAGTCTGGAATTTTAACTATGAAATACTATAATAAATAATGATTTAAAACAAGTTACTTGGTGAAAGCTTGTTTCTATTCGCGGATTGTTTTTAATATATTTAAAAATTTGGGTTACATCTGCCATCTGGATGGTAAATCTGCCGGCTAGAGGTGACCTTGCTTGTTGCCACCCGCAACAAGCAGGATCCCCTCTGTTGGGACGTGGGTTACATCCATCTGGAACATGCTTTAATACGTCTTCGCGCAATTTGACATTTTTCCTGACAAATTCTATATTACATTTTAGCACACATAAATATTTTCCATGAAATTTGTTTGAAACAGGCTCTAGTTTAAACCTAAGACTAAATATAAAATACTTTTAGTTGATAAAGCCAAAATAGTTTATAAGAATTAAAAATAAAATATTATCGTTAACACAATTATTATAATTGAACAGTATTCACTCCATCAATATTCCAGCTTTACACTTTATACTCTGTCAAATACTAGTGAAGTGTATTAATAAATAGGAACCTTGGTATAGTCAATACGAACCAATATCCCGCTTCCTTAGATGTTAGCTCGATGACAGAATTAATTAGATGAAACAAATTCAATATTTGGGTGTGTATCAAACTGTGTATAAACGATTATTGAATCGCAAATGATAGTGCGCAAATTTGCATGTGTTTGAATGAATTACATTTTAACCTTTGCACGTTAATTTAGTTGTACGGCTGTGAACATATGTAAAACAGACAAAATTTTATTTAAACTTTCCAATGTAACTCAAAACTTCCGAAAGCATAGTTAAATGCAAGTGAGTTCTAATAACAGCGCTAATTACAGGCAACATCTTGGACTGAAAACGAATTTAACTAGCGGTTGCTGATTCCGGATAATTTACGAGCCGAGAGAAATTAAATTCTTAGCGTTGTTCAAGAAAATGATAATTACTTTTCATTCAAAGTATTTTTGGTGTCATTTAATGTACAAGGTTTTGGTAAATTTAAATATATTTGATGTTATACACATAGATAATTTGAAAACATTCGATTACATGTTAAGTCATCAGAGTTTAACGATTCGCGGCTATATCACCAGTTATTGCCATCCTATGACCATAATTACAGCCTATCAAAAGCCTGATTGGCTTTTGAATGAATGATTTGAAATCATCCAATTAGAACTTGGGTACGAGTTAAGCCAGTGCGTTTAACCATCTACGGTACTTCATCGGTTATTTCCAGCTAGACTAGATAATTTGAATGCATTCGATGAATATCTGCAGACAAGGCCAGAGTGCTTAGCCATCTACGACTACGTCACCAGTCATTACCAGCTACTAACTATTAAAAGTCCATTGCTAAAATTAGGCGCCACTATATGTAGGAGTCATCGTACTAGTCGTATAG